AACCCTACCACCTCCCAAGAGGCAGTGTAAGAGGTAAGTTAATAGTCTGGAGGAGAGTAAATAGGAGGCAGTTACCTTTGCTTCATTGTCTGAATACCAACCCCTTTATGCATCTGCAGTTCTACTCCAGTATATATAGTTCACCAGGACCCAGTTGTACTCTGGATGCAAAGCCGTCAAAACGCCCCGGGTCAAACACTGGGTTTGCAATAAAAATAGAAGTTGCAATGAGTTACAGCATGGCTGCTTGTGGGATTGCAGGACGGATGTGAATCAAGGAGCAGGGGATGGGAAAATGTGGGAGAGTTTTGCTCAGTGTCACAATCCTGTCAGCCAACAATGAAATTGCGGACTCCTCAAGACAACATCTATGGTGAGTCTAAGATGGAGAAACAATAGGGGAGTGATTTAAGGAAAGGACTGGACCACCCGCTGGCTCCATTGGACTGCCTGAAGGAAACTCAGAGATTTCAGACATTTTTCACAGCCCAGACACTCTCATTGCAGCCTTATTTCTGGCCCTACAGGGCATGTGGACAAGATAATCATTTTATTTGAATGTCCTTGTTCCCAAATGCAGCTGCATGAAGAGCTCCCCATTTTTTAACATCCCTCACCTTGTGTTAAAGTGACCCAAAGCTCAGAGCAGTGATGGTTTCCCATAAATCACAGCTGGGCCCTCTTGCAAGCAAAGTACTGCTAAAATTTTATGCCACCTGCAGGGTGTTCCATGGGCAGCATGGGTGAAGGGAGCAGAAAGGGGAGGTGGGGCGGGGGGGAGAAAGAGTGGCAGAGGATGGAGTTTTGAAGTTTGACATCTTGACGTTTCGCAAGTAGAAGCCAGTCAACCAACATCTGGCTGAATATATTGCGTCTTGCTTAAGAGCAACTCCAGATGTTCCAGAGACCTTTTTTTCATTATTTTGTTTCTTTCTTTCATTCTTTTTTTCTCTCTCCCAGCCGCTATTGGCTCACTAAATCAAGGGAGACAGGCTTTTAACTTGCTAGAAAGAAATAAACGACTCAATGGTGAGATGAAACGAATTTTCTGGAACCAAGTGAGCAGATGTGTGTTGGGGGAAGGGAAGAGAGGGGCAAGGTAGGAAAGCAAAGGAGAGAGAGAGACATGGACATGGACACCAAGGCTGAGCAGAAACAGGATGCATGACGTGAACCCCAGGTAAGCTAAGGTCTCAAGTGACACACTGAGGACAAAATGACAAGAGCTTAGGTTTAGAGGAAAAGGGAAAATGACTGATCCATGCCTTGTTGCATCACCAATGTAACTTGGGCCCATTCTTGCATAACAGAAGAGGCTTAAAGCTGAGAAAGTAAAAAAATTGGTATGTGGATGACACTGAGACAAAGAGATGATTTATGAGCTCCAAAAGGGGAAAAAGTGATCAGCTGAACAGCAAGAGAAGCGGGAGAAGAAAAAGGGAGTATGGTAAGAAGGGGGATGGAGAAGAAGGAAGTTGGGGGAAGGATAGTTAGGGAAGTGGGTAGTAAGGTTGAGAGACAAAGATCCATGGATCCAGAGAATGTAGAGACAAGGCATCCCCATGACATCCACTGGCGTCTTGAAGATGTTCTGGGGCAAACTGGAGGCTGAAACTCCATCACAGTCCACATAAGTGGTAAAAGGTACACAAGAATATGTTGGATGTCTGTGATGTCCTAGAGTGTTGCGTTCTGGGACATCTTCAGGAAAAGACCTGTTAACACATCAATGCCATCTCCAGAGTCAATGTTAGGATAGTTTCCTACTGCATTCTTTAGTGCTGCATCTGGTCTAGTTCTAAAAAGTCCGCAGTGATGGCACTCTTACCAGTAGCATCTAATGAAGACTATTTCACACTCTAACAGGAAAACTAATTAGGCACATACATTAGGATTAAATTTCCTTTTGTCCTTGTCATTTTCTATAAGGTGACCCTAAATAATTCAGGTCTGTTTTTAGTGTTCATACTCTTCAAATACTACTTTTCAGATGGTAGATAGCCAGCATGTTCCCCCTTATTCATCAGGTGACCCATACTCTACTGGAATGTGGAGTTTACAATAGGTTTCCATTTAATTTTAAAATAATAGTATCCTGGTTTTAGCACTTGCAGAGCTCATCTGATTTAATTCTTGCTCTGTTTAGACTCTCTTGAGCCAAGAGATGAGCCACAGGTGCACTCGGGCATGAGAGCTGAAGCAGAACTGGAATGAAGGCATCTGGATCGTGTGAGACACCCAAGGCCTCAAGAGTGGAGCCTGAGTCTGTTGAAGGTAAATTACTTCACTGATGAGAGATGCAGTCATTCTTAGTCACCTTGTGTAGGACCTTTAATCTTCAGGCTGATCAATGAAACCCACTGGAATTAGGCTCAGAGCAAGGTACTATCAATAATGAATAAATGTGTGAAAATCCAGCTCTCAGTTACTTGCCGTATAGCAGAGACCTACTAAGACCTAACTTGGCACTTCCACTAAATGATAGAAATAAACTGCTTGTTCTACATCTATGATCAGCAACCTTTTTAGGCTACAGGCCAGAGTGAACCAGTTTGGGTCAAAGGCAGGTAAATTGGTGGGCAGTAGGACCAAGCTGCCACTGATGTTCTTCCCCCAGTGGCACAGGAAAACAACTGTTGCCAAAACCTCCAGCTGCTGAATGCCAGGGAAGCCTCACTGCTACAAGCTGGATCAAATGGCTCTTTTGGCCACATCTGGCCCGTGGGCTGTAATTTAGGGTTAGCATATTTCCAGTTCCAAAAAAGAGGACACCTGTCAGGGGGACACCTCACTTCTGACCCATAGCCCCTTGCCTTTCCCCCGCCCCGCCCCCCGGCCATGCTGATGCCACTCACTCCCAAGCTGCAGCCCCCTGGCCCTACCACTGTTCCCGCTCCTGATCCACAGCTCCCACTCCCCCAAGCCCTGCTGGTGCCCATCACTCTCGACCCACAGCCCCTGCCCACCCCAGCCCTGCCGGTACCCCTCACTCCCAACCTGCAGCCCCCTGCCCCCCCAGCCCTACTGGAGGGGGTACCCAGCTGCCCCCTTCCCAACTGGGCTGGAGCGCAGCAGCTCCAATTTGTGTGGTCAATAGCATAGCGAGTCTAGCCCCAGACATGCTGGAGCAAAGAGGAGAGGATGCCTGTGGCACACTTGCCCTGGGTTGGGCCTCCAACGCTGTGCCAGGCAGCCTAGCCTTGTCTGGATACTGTCTCCTGGGGCTGCCCGGCCTGCACAAGCACGGGAACCAGCCCAGCCACAGAGCTCCCCACTGCCCTCAAAGGACCCCCTGCCCCCATCTCCCACTGGAGGGGCAGGCACCTCCACCACCCTGCTGAAGCCCTGGCACCCAGACAGCTTCCCCTAGCACTGCCCCTGCCTCCAATCGCACTCCCCCAAGCTCCCGCCAGCGGAGCAGAACAAAATCCCAGACATTGGATCCTATTTTAAAAAAACGCCCAGATGGAGATCAGAGGACTCAGAAAGAGGACGTGCCCAGGAAAACCTGGATGTATGGTAACCCTACTGTAGGTTGCTGCCCCCTGCTCTGTATAATGGCAGCTTGGCTGTGCAAGATGGCCTCCCAGATACTGAAACTGAATGTACTCTAAACGCTACATGTCTGAAGCTCATTATGAGTATCAGGGAGCTTCAGGGAAGCTATAAAACCATTATAGGGACCAGTTGTGAAAGCTGCCTGTGCTACAAAGAATCTACAAATACAGCCCACCAGAAATATGGTTGCTCAAAAGATTCAGTAGAATAATTCAACCCATTCCAGTACCTAGAAACAAAATCTGGGGAGCTGCCTTTACAGCCAAAGAGGTGTAAGCCCCCAAGAGGAACCTGGCATCTACCATTCTGTAACAAACACTGCATATGCACACAAATGCCAGCCATAATGGTTGCAGAATAGAACTAATTTTCCTTCCAAATCAGAAAGGAAGACCCACCTCAAACACCACAGAGAGCGAGAGGGATCAAAACCTGGAGTTGGTCGGAAATTTTCTGAAAGAACATTCTTCCTTCAAAAACTAGCCCAGCTTACCTACACTGGCCCAGTACATCTGTCTGCCTCCACAGCACCCCACTGTTTTATAGTTGGCACCCCAGGGTTAGTGGTCCCAGCGCTTTCCAGCTCTCTTATTCAAACGCAGGAGACTACCAGACCTAGACACCCTTGGACATTCCTCTCTAGACAGGGCTCTCAGGGTGTGTCTACACTGCATCCACAGCACTGCCAGGGTAATGTGCTTCTAAGCATGCCCTGCGCACACAGTCACACATGTCAAACCCACATATATAGTGGAGGACAGCATTCCCTGCAATCCTGCTCCAGACCTTCGTCTCTAACGTATTTGTGTGAGGTGCCCCTGGAGCAGCCTATCCACCGCATCCCCCAATTCACCGCAAGCAAGTGGGAGCAAACCGGCAGGGCAAACTCAGGAGCATCCCTTCCTGAGAGTGCAGGTGGGGGTAGTGTAGATGCTCCCTTAGGTCATGACTCCTTGGAGCCCTGAGAGCTCTCAGGTCTGTTTTGATTGCAACATTTTCAAATAAAAAATCATTTTGATAATTTCTAAAGGATTTGCCCATCCAGGAATCTCGCCCATCCAAGAATCTCTCCCATCCCTTCCAAAAATCCCAACAAGCTAGATTTATTTTAAAAATTATAAAAGTTTCCCGCGGAGAGGAAATTCCATCCTTTGACCAGCTCTATTAAACGCTACGTTCAAATGAAAACAGTGTCCACTTCCACGTATGATCACCTCAGCAATGTTAACTTCCTAGTCAGGGGAGTCAATGCACAACCAAACAATCCTGAAGAGTAGCTCAGGAAGGGCTGTCCCCTTTTCTAATAACAGAGAGGTGGTGTTACCACGTGACTCAGCTGACCAATCATGATTATCCCAACTAACTAAGAAGACAAGTAACGATGACAAAGAATTGTGCTTCTGATCCAAATGTAGAGTCAAAAGAAGTCATAACATAACTAAGAAATTGAGTGAAATCCTGATCTAGTTGTGGGTACCTACAAAGGGCTAAAATAATCAAATATATTATAGTAAATTGTACTCTATGCATATAAATTATAGTTGATTATCCTATATTCAGGACTCTATGGAAAACAGCTCAAAAAACCTGACAAACTAGTTTGCTACAGAACTAGCTTTCTAGCAGATGAGCTCATCCCAGTGAGATGTGCAAAGCAAAGGCAGACTCTTCTGAGACAGAAGTATCCAGGAAGGTAAACTAGAGGTAGAAACCAGAAGACAGAGTGCAGCCAGGGAGAGGAATGACGGTGCAGACGGCATTGAAGAGAAGAGACCAAAATGTACAGACGCTTTCTGCTCCACAGTCAACATAGGAGGTACTAGAAGAAAGAGCAGGGCTGAGTGAACTTTCCATCAAAAACCAATGACTGATTAAAATTGCTCCCCGGGGACTAAGTAGGACAGTTCCCTCCTCTGTGCAGATCCACAGAGGGTGTGCCGCTGGCACAGCCCTTTCTGGAACGCTACAGCCCAGGCTGCTTGTACTTTCAGTGCTAGAGGTCCCTGGTTTGAATTCTGATGCAGATGCCAAGATGGCAGCCATAGGGCAGAACCTTCCGCTGTTTAATCAGCCCCAGATTGTCAGTAATCACAAGCCCACCTCTGAAAATCCTGAGGCTGAAAGTAACAGATTTGACTTGTGTTGAGCACTCGGCCTTTTGGTGTTAACTCCTCCTGCCCACCTCTGGTAGGTCGGTGTGTCATTAACAGTGTTGTCAACTCTCCCGTACTTACAGAGATTTGGCCCTGGGGACAGGAGCTCTTGCTAACTGCTGGGTGCTGTGGGGCTACCCATGTCCCCCAGCACCCCATATCCCTAATGAGTTCTTCACCCACAGACCCACATCAGAGACCAGCAATTGGTTCTGCACGCATATCCATCCTGACCACACCCTGCCTCCCATGTGCCTGTTTCCAACCCAACTCTCACATTAATTGAACCTCCTCCAGCCTCACCTCTAGCCCTTACTCTGTCTCCCAGGCCTGGGACAGGGTGCAGCAGGGTGCCTTTCTCTCCTTGCTCAGGCCAGATGATGCAGAGATGGGGAGGAGCAGAGAGTGAACTGAATCCTTGTTTACAAGCTGAGGTGGGGAAGAGAGGGAGCAGAACTATTGCAAATTTCTGGGCTCCTTTTGTTTTTCTTTCTGGGCTGACCCTATGTCTCTGGTGGGAGAGAAGCAACTACAGCTTCAAGGTGAAGTACATTTATTAATTTCTCATAGTGGTCCTGAGGTCCATTACTGTACAGTAAACCATGCTTTGCTGAAGTAATGGGTCTTGGGAAAATAATTTGCAGGAGCTGTGGGTAAAGGCATGGCAGACAGGTCAAAAGGGGACCTCTAGGCTGATGGGGATTCAGGAAAGCAGACAGAGGAAGGCCTGGACAGAGGGGGTGGAAGGACACTTTGTGGAGTTGCTTGGGGTTCAAGCAACTCCACATTGGAAGTGGAGTTCCATATGCTGCTCTATTGGAACAAAGCAAATCGCTCCTGCTGGGAAGGGAACGGTTCTGCAGGGGTTTTGAGTCAGCAAAACAAATGGGATGCATATACTCGAGAGCAGCATATGGATGCATCTTGACATCAGCAATCCCTCCTGACACCAGTTTAACATTACAGCATCATCCATACCAACGCAGGTCAATCCTCTTAGCCATGATACCTAGTTTATGTGAACCTAGACACCTACAGCCTTGTTCTAGTCCCATTCACACTGGTTTTACACCATTATGAGCACAGCAAAGCTACTCCTGTCTTACCCTGATTTGACAGAGCAGAACCAGGCTCCTTGTGGTACTGAGTTGACCGTGGGTCAGCCATCCATCAATAGCCCCCTCTTTGAAGCATGAAGGACCTCGTAAGTCTCCAGTCCCACCATCTGGCCAGAACCAGATGTGTTTGACTTTGCTGGTCCAGGGGGTGGGAATGCTCCATTAAGAGACGCTGGGGCACCAGCAAAATGTATGTTGCTTCCCTCTCTAGTGGCCTGCCCAGTACAGGAGAGCAGCCTACCACAACCACCATCTAACAGAGCTACCCTTTAGCTCCCCCACTTGAGGCCTGGGCTATGGCACCGAAGCCCCCAGTGCTGTGTAACAAGACTCAGAAATTCTCAGGTGGGATGTAACGCCCACGGTTTTAATGAACTGACAATGTCCGAACCAGGTTGTGTGCTCTGGCCTGCCAGTAGATAGCACTCTTTTATGACCCAACTATCCACACACAGACCTGCCCCTTGTATACAGCGCTCCTGTCACAGGCCTGTGCGGGAGACAGGCTGGGAATCATGTAAGGAAGGATATTGTGACTTCTTTGGCTGAAGGCTTTTGGCCTTGTATGCCTGTTGT